CCCCCGCCCCCGTCCGCGATCTCGTTGCCGAGGTTCTCCACGAACCGGCTGAGGAGGACGAGGTAGGCCGTGCCCAGCGTGGCGCCTAGGCCGTAGCTGCACGCCGCCTTGAGGGAAAAACCCCAGGCGCCGGCGGTGCCCAGGAGGCCGAGGAAGAAGTTGTCTCCGATGAGGCGCCACTTTCTCTTCTCGTAGAGCCTCTTCTGCCTAGCGATCGCCTGGGTCCGTGGGCGCAACGAGCGGGAGTTCCAAACACGACGAGGGGCGTGCCGTGACGCGGTGATGGGGGGTGTGGCGGCAATGAAGACAGCGGTAGTTAACTTAGCTACAAAGAGACAGGACAATGAAATACTTGAGATACAGGCGAGGGGAATACGAAATATCCCTTCGTAGAACAACTAAACAAGTAGCCCGATGGGCCCAAAGGCGGGGTCACAAGTCACTACCGGGGGCTCATAGATGTGCTTCATGAGATCTAGGGCATGGAAAGGGGTCACAAACAAGGCGTGCACAACGGTGCCCTGCTGTACAACACGGTCGGTGTTCGGATGCCCACGCGCAATGTTAAGCAGCGAGTGCACGGAGCAGTGATGTACTCATTCCCAACGGTACCGCACGCGCAAGTCCCCGTTCGGTCCTGTGCATCGTCGCTGTGTGTCCAAGACGCAAATCCCATCGCGCATTCAAGGTCCACCCGCCACTGGCTCTTGTCGCCTGAACGGAGTTGTTTTTTCTGCCCTCAGCGGTCCCCATTCAAGGGGTTTCGTCAACACAAGACGACAAGATGAGCACCCGTCATGCTGTCAGCGTTTCGGTCGTAATCCACTACCACTGTGCTTGGTCGTGCGGGTCACCCGTGTAATACGAGCATGTACTGTAGTACCCCCTTGGCGAAGGCCGAGCACTCAATTCTCAGCCCCCTGACCTCTTCCTGCCCAAGAACACGAGTACAAGACACCCTCTCGCTGGAAGTTATGGCAGGAAAGACCGATCGGTACTGGAACAGAGGTTGCCTTTTGACCATGGGTCGGCAGGATTTGTCGTGGCTCTTCGTCGGCATACATGTTCAAAGCCCCATTTGAGCGGCCCAGAGCGGTGCAGCTTGCGAACCCATCCCGGCCGCGCCCTTTCCAACGAAATTAAATATATTAGCCCTCACCTCCGGTAGCATCGGCTCCGGCGTAGAGTACGATTGCGTGGAGGCGTTGTTGGTCTTGCTCTTCTTCCCTCTCCTGGCCGACGCCGACTGCTCCGGCCCAAACGAGTCTATAGTCATCATCTTGGACGAAGACAGGGCCTCGGTCACATACACCTGGGGTGCGGTGCGGGTTGTTGCGGTGCGACCCATAGGCGGAACAGAGAAAAACAACGCGGCGACTTACAGATCATCGTCGTCGAACGCAGCGCATGTCCAGTCACGTTGAGTGCCTGGGAGTCAGCTCTTGACATTCAGCAAAGCCAGCACATCGGCCATTGGGTTTGGTGCTGCCACGAAGTAGTCCGTACTGGCGATGACACGCACAGGCAGCAGTACAGCGTGTCCCACTCTCTCCCTCCAATGGTCTGTACTGGATAGCTCCTTTGGCGCTCAGTTGGAACGAATGCAACTGTTTGCGGTCCGTTACACGTTCGACAACGCCAGCAAAACCTTCGCACGCACGCACGCACGCTCCCCCGGTACCGAGAATACGCATCATCACCGGTGTCGACACCCGAGAGCCTCCGACACACAAGGAGTTCGGCAACACCCATACTCCGGATTTGCATGCGCCGACAACCACTAAGAGCAGCCCGTGTCAGAAGAAGAGAGATCGGCTAGATTTCAACAGGAACGGGAGGCAGGGAGCCAGGCAGGCCAACTAATGCAACACCCACGCTGAAACCCGACCAGCGACGCATCGCGCCTCCCTCCACCCACCAGCTTGTTGATCTCGTCTTCTTTCTCCTCTTGGGTAAGCTCTCCTCCTTTCGACGCCTCCACCGCCACCCTGCTCTCCCCTTCCCCTCCGCCGCCCGTGCCTGCTGTCTCCGCGGCAAGCGCCACCACTGCCGCGCCGCCCCGGGTTTCCAGCTCGCCGAGGCGTCTCCGGCCGTCGCGACGCGGCCGTTGGCGTGACGATATTCGGAGGCTGCGTCTGTTCCTAGGCCGATTCGGCTGCTGCACCTCCTGATTTCATGTGGGGGGAAAACGTTTGTTGCGTCCGTGTGGTGCACAGACCGGAGAAATGCGGTGATAGTTGTGAGGGGCGGCGAAGGTTGTTGTATGGCACTTCCCACGTGCTCTCTTGAGCTGCATAGGCCTAAGACAAGAGGTCGGGCGGGGGGCTTGGCTAACGTGTAGGTGGGTCCATGAGCATGGGATCATAAACGGGTGCTGACGCTACCATCGGTGCATTATCTGTAGCGAGGAATGCAGCTCAAATACCACCGGGTTTGCCCATCCTCCTGACAGCAGCATGGCGTCTACGGAGAACTCGACCTCGGCTCGAGTTGTGTTCAGATTATGTGATACAAGTGTGACTATATTACCACATATTAATACTGCGTCCAAGCGAACTCCAAGACGTTGGTTGCGTATCTCTGCAGTGCAACGAATTCGAGAGTCCACAGCGGTAGACCACTAAGTCGGCAGTGTGCGATCGCATGCTGTACCGCCTTCGCTACCTTCACCATCACGTTTGCGAGGGCAACACATTGTATTCGGAACACCATGGCAACGGGTACGTGAGCCAGTATCATGAATCATAGCAGTGGAGTGCATAACGTTGTGTGCATGGCGTTAGCACCGATATCACATGGTCCATTTGCTTCTGTGGGTAACTACGGGTGTCGTTCGAGGACCCTCTACATATAGGCAGCAGAAGCCAACAGTCACCACGTGAAGTTCAGTGCATGTATGTACCTGGTTCAATGATGCGCCGCATGCTCTGGTCGACGCTCTCGGCGACACAGGTCGTACAGCACGGAGCTGGTGCGCCGCTGGCGCGAAAGCAAGGCACGTCGACGACAGAAGACTCGCAGCACACACCGCCAGACTCGATCCTCGTCGGCGCGTCGTCATGACAGCAGCGGTCGAAGAGCAGTCCACCCTCAATGTGCAGCTGCTAGGTGAAGCAAGCGAGACACTGCACATGACACACGCCAGCGGCAGCTTGGGGGGCACCACAGTATCGAAAGAGACAGACCCTCCCCCGGCACCAACGGCTTTCTCTCTCTCACCAACACGGTTGCCGACACACCAACAAACAATGCACCAGGCGAGCAGAGTGATACTCAGCCAAGCTCGCTAATACCGCTTCGGAGCCCATTGCATTGCTTCCGCCCACTAGGAGCTTCATTGGTGCGGCGAGCGGGGAAAAGGGTTGCTCTGTGCGTAGGCGGAGTCCACTGATGTCCGAGGCTCAGGTCAGAAAGAAAATCATCACTGCTCGCCTGTTGATTTTGTAATGTCTCAGCGCAGACACAGGCGGCGCTGCGTCGTGTTTGCGCCTGGTGCCAAGTTCAATGACGGATTTTTGGTGAACGGTGTGCCCGCGTGTATTTGCAAACTTGGTCGCGTTCCCGCTCTTCTGTTACAACGTCAACTAACCGGGGGGGCAACAAGTCCACAACAATAATCGTCGCTGCTCCAAAAAAATTATGGATGTTGTCGGCTCTTATCCATTTGTTCGTTGTGCACGACACGCGTTACACCCGCGTCGCGTTGTCGGCAAGGAGGTACAGCAGTGCAGTACTCACAAAACGGCGTGGCATGGAGAGCGCGGCGGTGACGATGGCGTAGCGACTGCGTAGCAATTTCATCAATACACTACTACTGCTGTAGTTTGCAATACCGCAGCAGTTGAATAGACGAACAGACGCAGTGTGGCTGTGTGTGCTGATAATCTCCCCGCCGCGACAGATGCAGATTTTGCTCCTTCCGACTGTTGTTTTGGGCCGACAGCCAGAGCGGCAGCACTGCTGCAGTATCCGCGAGTTGCTGGGACGCCTTCCGGCACCCGTTGCCAAGATACGACGTCCAAGCCCTTGGTGCAAGGGAAAAAGCAAAAAAAGAAAATTGCCGGGCCTAACTATTTACGATGCAAAAACATGTTTTCGAAAGGTACTTGTAAACGAAACAACATAATCGCACACACACACAAAAACACACACGCCGGTCGTTCCCCCGATCGATGTCGACCGCGTCAAGCCTCTTCCCCGACTAGTAACTGCTGTGTACTACTGCACCACAGGTGTACGTGCCCGATGCCGACGCGGCGTGGGCGCGGGCCTCGGTGCTCAGCGCCGTCGGGGGCACGGTGTACGAGGTGCGCATCGACGGCGTCGACGACAACGACGAGTCCGGCCAGAGCGACTGGGGAGCGGGGGAAGTGCGGAGGGTTGACTTAGCAGGTGCCGGATACACACTACTGTATAATGGATGTTGAACGGGGTTCATCTGCTCGCAGCAGCAGCGTGGGAAGGAACGGTCTTCTCGTGCCCCACCTCCTCTCGACCCTCCAGGGAGGTGTTGTTTTTTTTTGGCGGCGGGGATGGATGGGGGTCTTGCTGCTTTCGTGTTTTTTATCATGATGCGAACAGGCCGTTACAAGCAGTGGTGGTGGATCTTTGGGTGAATGATCACGTCGGCGAAACGGCCGAAGACGAGCGACCTCCACGTGTATTGGTTCAGATCCGCCAGCGTTGCCGGCTGCCGACCAGGTTTGGCGTTCCACTTGTTTTTGCACTACAGCACAGCAGCAGCACCATATGTTGTTGAAACTCGAAAGACGCACGGCACGACAAGACGAATCAGTAGTCCAATGGTTTTGATTTAGGCTTCTCTAGCCCCTTGTCCGAATTATCCAAGACACAGCAGCACTTTCAGAATTTACTTTCACTACGCTCAACTCCCCGGGCCACCGTAAATCGACTCGTCCCCCCAAACACACAGGCCCGGAGTTCGGGGCCAAGAGGAAAAGCGCGGCCGTCGAGAGCAGCCTGCCGCTTCAGAACCTCGGGTTGCCGGACGATGGGGTAGAGGACATGACGAGGCTCGACTACCTGCACGAGCCGGCCATCCTGTTCAACCTCCGCAGGCGTTTCTTTCGGGCGATGCCGTACACCTACACAGGGGAGATCGTCATTGCGTGCAATCCCTACCGGTGAGACCGGTGAAGAAAATAACCCCCCGTTACCGATTTGTTTTGTTTTGTTCCTTGTTCGTCTTGATTTTTTATTTTCAGAAACCAAGGGTCGATCTTGTATTGTTTTGTGTATTTTCGAGACTTTTCTTGCGGCTTCGCAGATTGATTGCCACCACTAACAACAATTTCCGTCCCCCCCCCCGCTCCCTCCCCCCGCCGAGTTTCCTCTGCGACTCCGACTAATTTTTTTCGCGTGCATGGTTTGTCCAGTGTTAAACCCGCTCCAGGCGTAGCCTGCCGACTTTGGAAGTCTTTCATGACAGGCTCGTCGCATGATTGGGGAATCTGTCGACTCAGCCAAAGTTGCAACCTTGCCTGCTCCCCCCCCCCCCCCCCCCCCCCCCCCCCCCCCCCCCCCCCCCCCCCCCCCCCCCCNCCCCCCCCCCCCCACGGCTTTCTCCCTTGTCGTGCCCTGCGCTGCTCCATAGGTGGCTAGATTTGTACGGCGAGGAGCGAAGAAAGCAGTACGCTGGCATGGTCCGGGGGGAGAGATCTCGGCTTCCCCCCCACGTGTACTCCACCAGGTGAGCTGTGCTGTACTTGTAGCGCTCAACACTTGCTGAGCTGATGTCTCGAGCGGAGGAGGGAGGCCTCTCGATCGTCCTCGGCAGGTTCCTTGCTCGCGTGCATGCTTGCGGTCTCAATCAGCCCGATTCTCTCCCGTGCCTTGCTTTACGCTCGAGTAGATCTTTCGTATCATCCATGCTTCACACACAATTTTCGTGTGTGTGAACAGCTGTATTTCGCTACAGAGCTTTCCTCTCTCTCCCCTCGTCCGTCGAAAAACACCGCCAACATACCCCCCCCCCCCCCCCCCCCCCCCCCCCCCCCCCCCCCCCCCCCCCCC